TGGTCTTTATCAGATTAAAGCCGAGATTAGGGGGTCTGTGGGCCCCCTCTTTGCACTTCCTCAAGAACTTCCATGCATAAAGTTAAAGGACAACATCTACTGGTTGGTTTTTCTCTTCTTCTCTCAAAGATGCCTGGAAACATCTTGGGCAACTGGGTGAGTAGTTTTAAAGCTCTCCTTCTGGTGCTAAAGAGAGAAACTAACAATGTTGGTGCCACTCCCCCTCCTTCAGCAAGGACAACCCAGGAGACACAACTCAGGAGACAGGAATTTACTAGTTTTTGTTTTAGGAAGGAGGTCTTATGGAGGCCAAATCTCAGTAAGTGCTGTTCAGATTATTCTAAAGAAACTTGTCATTCTTCTTAGCATGATCACTCTCTTGGAGCAGGAATTAGGAAAAGACACAGGCAATTCCTAGTTCTGGAAAATCCAAAGACCTGGATGACCTTCCTGGCTCTGAGATTTGCTGAGAGAAGTTGGGCAATTCACTTGCCCCCTTTGGACATGTATAGTCAAAGAGACTATTGGCACTGCAGGATGCCTTTCCAACCTGGGTGCTTGTGGATTCTTATAAATGCGTCTTGAAAATTCAAGAGGCCAGGCTGGACAACGCCCTGTTACGTCCCTTTTCCTGAGCTCTGGAGGAATAGAGGACCACAGACTGGGGCTAGAAAATGAACTGGGAGGGAGTTGTGGTCTTCTCAAACACAGATTGCACTTCTTATGTGCCAGGAGCTTTACATATACTAACTTCTTATATACACTATATCCATATAGTTACATATACTATATGGATATGTAGTATATACATATAATTATATGCATATGTAGTATATACATATAATTGCCTACATATATACATATATAGTGTATACATATAGTTGCCTATACTTAATATATATAGCATATATGCTATATACATCTAGTTACATATACTAACTTCCTATGTGCTCAGCACTTTACATAATGCTAACTCATTATGTGCACAAAACAGTTCCATGAAGTAGGTACTATTATTACCCTCATGTTAGAGATGAGACTGGAGGATCAAGAGATTCGATGACTTGCCCAATGTCACAAAATTAGTCAATGGCAGTTGAGATCTCAGCAAATCTGGTTATAGTTTGGGCTCGTTACACTGTGCTGCTTCTGGGATGGAAAGGTTCTATTTAGAATTAATGGAAAAATCATTCAGATTTAATCCTGCTTTTGTTGATATTCTAAATTCAAGGCAGGAGTTACATTTCTCTAAAGGATCAAAGCTACACTTTACAACAGGGTAAGTGGTAATTGTTGGACAGGTGCATGGCAGGTGACCTTGCAAAATGTGAGGTATGATGGGGCCCTTTCTTTGGGACACAGTTAGAACAGGAGGAAAATTTTTCTATTTTAGGTTGGCAATATCTTCCTTGATACCTGCCCCCCAAATGAATCCTATTTATGAAGAATCTTCTTTCTGAGCAGTAAGCCTGTGCTTAATTAACCTTATGCAAATCAGCTTAATTGCTTCTCAGTGGCTGTTGTCCAGAAGCACCTATGGATTCCTTCTCTCAGACATTTCCAGCACCTGGGTGAACCACCAAGTTGGAACCCTTTCTTGTGAACATTTGCTGTGTGCCTGTGGAGCACTGGGTGTTGTGTTGGAGATCACAAGAAGTGCAAGGTGTGAACCCAGTTGTGGAGGTACTTACAGACCCACACAACCAAGGATCACAAAGAGAGGGAGTGCCTTGTTAGCCTCATGAGCCAAGTGTCATGATAACACAGGTTACTCTGGAGTTGAAGGGTCTTCTAGGTGTATTTTCTTCCAGGTTAGTTCCATTGGCAGAGGAAATGGATGTGGGAAGCACGACTTACTCAACTTTCTCAGGGAAGTGAAAAATAAAGCAGCCTGATGCTGTCTCTACTTGCGGCTCCAACTTTGTTCAGTTTCTTGCCCTGGATCTTCTGGACAAGTGGGGATAGAGACCATATGTCAAGCTTGCAAGAGGACTGGGAATTCTTCTGGAGAAAAAGCAGCGGGAGGTGGAGGGGCTTGTTTACTGGGTCCGGTACCTCCAGATCTCGTGCCAGAGCCAGATCTTCTGGAAGCACCAGTAGGGGCTAGGGGTGCCGAACCACATACCTGGAGACTGCATCTCGGAATACATTCTGTGGCTCACCGGCCGTTTTAAAGCCCCCTCCCAGAGAGCCACGGTACCGGAATCCCGGCCTTCAAGCGTTGACTGTAATGCCTAAAAACCGTCGCAAGGTGGCAACGTTGTGGCGAGAAATAGACTTAAAATCCTGGGTGGTTTTTTAAAGCATATTTTCCCTATTAATGTTTCATTTAACTTAATTAGAATCTGGTAAACTAATTAAAGTAGCTACGAGCCCCGCAATCAGCAATAATTCGTATAATTATTGATAATTACATCCATACCGATCGTTTGGTTATCAACATTTTGGGGAGGGAACAGACCACTTTCAAAGGGATGCAGAGCCCAGGAGGGCTTTTGCAACTGAACTTTCTGGGTCGTATCCACCTACACCCCCAATCCACAGAGATTCCGGCCCAGATGGGGCGCCTCGACCGGTGGACTCCGGCTGCCTGCTTGCTCTTTTCCACTTTGGGGCAATTTGGAAGGGAAGGGTGGAAAGGAATATTTGTTAGGCTTCTCTGTTGGGGCACAGCCATGGAAATTCCTCCCTAAGTGATAACTGTTATGCCCATTTTACAGAGAAGGAAAGTGCACCGCCACAGGTGCATTTATGCTGTGGGGAAATGCGCGTGCCATCTCCAACACAGCGTGGCAGGGCTCCATCTCAGCTCCGCTCGCCCCTGGCAAGCCCTGGGGATGCAAGTCACTTCCTCTCTGGAGTTCGCTTCGCAGAGGGTGCAGTGGAGAACTGATCTGGTCCGCCCGCCTGTATGAAAGGCTCCAACTCCCCGGAAGGTCCCAGCCTGGAGACCTCGAGGCAGTACCTCACAGTTTGCCTGGCGCCCCCACCGCAATTCTTTCCCACACGTTCTCTCTTGAGTTTTGCCCTAGGAATATCCCCGAGCTCAAGGGGCTCTGGGACTGGCTTCCTTCCTCCACTGCGCGGCAGACTCCGGTGTGAGCCCCTTACCGGCGTCCCGGGGCGCGCCAGCTCCGCGCGAGGCCCTCCAGACCACCCCCCACGAAACTCACGGCCCGCACCCCCGAGCGCTCAAGCCCGGAGCTACCTGGCGAGAGTCCCTGGGCCGCCACTCGCCGCCAGGGTCTCCCCGCCTGAGAGACTTATAGTTAGTCTGGGGGTGTCTGGAGAGCTAGGCCATCCTGGCGCAGGTCCTGGCAGCGGTTGGCGTCTTACTCCCAGAGCGTTTCCATGAGCCTCCGGGGACGGAGGCCCAAATGTCATTTTGTAGAGGCCCAATCGGAGGCCCAGGCAAAATAAAGGGCACAGCACGGACCCTTGCTAGTCCGACTTGGAGGTGAAATTCTGCCGGGGCTGAGTGATTCCCAATACCAACACTTTCCCAACCTGGAGGTGCGCTGTGGGAACCGGCCGACCAAGGCTTCCACAGGGCGAAGCTTCATCAACCGCGCGAGTCGGGCTTTGGATGCCCCAGCGGAAGCCCGGCGAGTGCCTTGGCCCTGGCACCTGCGGACTGCAGTCCTCAACTCCACTTACACTAAACTGGAGGGATTATCAAAATGCGGCCAGGACTCCCTCCTTGCCCGTCGCGGTGGAGCCAGCGGGAGGACCTATGTGAATGAGCGCTAAAGTTCACCTTTTCCAGGATTGTCCCACTGAGGCTCATCCCGACCCAGCGCTGCCAGACAGACCAGCAGTGCCCACGCCAGCTAGAGGCTATTCTGGTTGAACCCAAACTCCAGGCAAGCCTAAAAGTCTCTTTATTTCTGAAAGCCCGGGAGGTGACTTCCCTGGACAGGCGTGGAAATAAGGCACGAATGAACCCAGTCCCTACAAGCGTCTTAAGAGAAGGGACCACCTTACCAGGGACCTTACAATTATTCCCTTTCCCTAACCGGGGCCCTTAGGGTAGGGTCCCTAAGGCAGAGAGGAGGTGACCTGGGGGTGACTGGGTCTGGCTGGGTCCGTTGAGAAGTCTGGGAACTTGCTTCTGTCTAGGTGAACAAGCACAATTCTAATCCTGGGCGCCCTAGACCCCGCACCACTGTCCCCACGCCCCACCTGTGTCACAGTCCTCTGCCGGCCCCGCCCCCCCCCCCGCCCCCCCCCGCCCCCCCCCCCCGCCGCCCCATCCCCTCCCCCGCCCCATCCCCTTCCCCGCCCCGCGCACTCCCAGGAATTGACAGATTTTCTTTTTTATTAAAAACAAAAGTCTCGGATACAGGGTGGTCTCCCCAAACAGGCTTAAGGTGGTCGCCATCTCGTGAGTCAGTTGTCGCCCTTTTAAAGTGCTGTTACATCGAGAAGTTACAACTACAACATAAATAAATAAAGAAAAATCCAAAGCGGGGGATGCAAAGGGGACTGGAAGTAGGTCCAGGAGAAGAAAGAAAAACAACTTAGAGTATAAATAAAAAGTGAATCTAATACTGAACCAAGAGACTCACAGTACATTTATATCCATTGCACATAGCCACTTAGTCATTAGGAACAAGAGAGTGGACGGGACTGGGAGCGCGGGGCCGGCGCAAGCGAAGTCGCTACATTGTATTCACAATTGGGGTCCGAGGCTGTACGCGGGCTGGGTGGGGGGTGGGAGATGTCCTCCCTCTTCCCTCCTCCCACCACCCCCGTGGGTCCAGTTAACCCCTTGAGGTCCGATGCCCTGGAGTTCAACCGAGGGGCGAGGCGGTATTTACACTTGGAAACTGAGCCGGGGCCCTGGACTGGGACGCCCGGGAAGGTCCGGACAAGGCCGGGCGCCCGGAAGGAGGACCGGCGGACTGGCGGACGGGCGGCTGTATTTACATCGGTCGGGTCCGAATGGCTTGTTCCTCGCTCTGGGCCGCCACAGCAGCGGGTATTTACAAGAAGGAGCAGCATGGCTTGAGGGCGCGTGGGCGCGGCCGGGCCGGCCCTAGGGTAACAGTGGGGGCTTGAAGGAGCAGTTGCCAGTGCAGTGGCGGGGCGTCAGCATCTTGCAGGAGAAGTGGTGCAGGGCGTCGTGGGCTTCTAGGGAAGAGAGTGGTACCAGCTACGTTGGCCGCCGCACTTGCCTCACCTGGCCTCTGCAGTGCACCGTCCCACTCCCCCCACCCGACTCACCCTTTGGGTTCAGGGGTTCTCAACCGACCAGATCAGAAAAGATATAGGAGAGAAGCTGGTGATTCAGAATCATCGCTCTGGTTAAATAGCCCCATTTTACAGAAAAGGAAACTGAGGCGCAGAGAAAGAGGGATCGACTTGCCCAAGGCCAGAGTTGAACCACAAGGCAGATTTTCTGATATTAAAGCTCAGAGGACACTTTCTTCTTACCCTGCCCTTCTAGAATAATTTCCCCCATTACAATCAATTCCCACTCGTCTCTTCTCAGTTTCTGATTCATGTAGACCTTAGCCTTCCCCCTCATTAGCCTCGCCATCTATCCATCCATCCATCCATCCATCCATCCATCCATCCATCCCATAGTACAGCCAGCCCCCTGGTAGCGGTGCTATCTTTGTTTCGGGGGTTTCGCACCTTTTAATTTCTGCTGTATGGCGTAGCGCGCCTTCCGCTCCTGGTCAAGTTCGTTACATAGAGTATCTGGAAGACATGGAGGATTGGTGAGGAAACGCAGACCACCTTCCGGCGGTCGGGGTCACAGTCAGGGCTACATCCCTCCCCTTGGCGCGGCCCCTCGCAGAAACAATTCTGGGGACGGGGGGAGGGGGCACCAACACTCCAAACTGCAAACTGACAGAGGGAGGAAATGGCCTGGGATGGCGCTTAAAGGCAGACGGATCTAACCAAAATTAAAGCAAACTTAGGCATTACTTCCCAGGTAATTTTACGCCTCGATTTTTAATTTAGAAACCATGGAAATTGCCGCGATAAGAAGTTCAATCACTCCATGTAATGATGCCTGCAAGCCGTTTGCTGGGCTCGCTTGCCATTCTGAGGCTAATCAGAGTATACAAAGGATATTAAATAAAAAAAATAATTGTTAAATTACCTTCAATTTAAATCCAAATGACTGAGCCAACATTGCGGCTCCTGCCAGACGAGAGGCAGTTACGGCCCGTGCACGCGCTCACCTGACTCCCGTCTTACCTCTGACAATTTGCAGCTGTTGCACCATTTCTTCTCGATAAGCCAATTCCCTCTTCATTTGATCCTGAAAATTATCTGTGCAAATTGATTAAGTGAGAGCTGTTATGCACAGCCTTCCCCCTCAGCTCCACTTCCCCACTCCCTCCCATCTTCACCCCTACCCCCACCCCCACCCAGTCCTATGCCTAGCTGGAAACAGAGGGAAACAGAGTTCTTCCCCTCTAGCCACCTGCCTGTACCCCATTCCTAGAGCAGGATAGGTTGACAGTGTTGAGATGAGTTGAGGAGGGATGGAAATACCTTTGAGACTCTGAAATTCTCGCTCCAGCTTCTTTCGGAGATCCATTTGCTCCAGGAGCAATTTTTGCAATTCTTCTGTGAATGGGAGAGTAGGAGGTAAGGGAGGGGAATGGAGAACTCAAGGGACCCATTAGGCATTGAGGTCTTGCTCTGGCTAATAGTCCTAGAACCTTAGTTGGTATACAGGCCTTCAGAACTCTAGCTTTCCCATTCCAGTCCAAAGGATTTGAGTGAAGACTCAGGGCTAAGTGGGTAGGATGCCCTGGAGAGTCAAATTCAGGAGGATGGAATCCATTTTGGATTCCTAGACCCTGGTTCCAGGAAATGACTGGGTTGTCATCTGCTTTAAGTTGTTCCTAACCCCCTAATCCTAGAGGATGACCCACAAAAACCTTATTTCCCACTTCAAATGACAGTTCTACTCCCTTCTTTCAGTGCAAATCAGGGAGAATGTGGTCAAAGCCTTGGACAGCTTTCCCAGAGAAATAGACATACTTAATAACAGTTTAGTTGTAATATAAGGAGATGCCCATAAGAACCCTCATATAAAGCACCAGTGATTGTGAAGGTAATGACAGAATCTGTAACTAGGAAAAATGGAAAAAGCTTGTGTTCCTTCCCCCACCAATTTCCAAGATAATTCATGGACTGTGGAAAACACTGTTTAGAGCCCTCAGAAGCCACTTCCAGACAAGTGGAAGGGGAGGCTGCCCTAGCCATGGGGCCAATAGTATTTGAGCCCTCCACATGAAGAGGTTCCTCTGAAACATAGCAATGGAAGATGGACAGGCAAAGTGGGGTTTGAGACTCCCTTCCTCTATGCTTCAAGCCAACTTCTCCCCCTTGCAGGCAAAGCAACCCTGGGGGTCCCATTCTGCAAACAAGCTCCATCTTCACAGAAATAGTTACATGTTAATTCCAGGGAAAGTACTGTAACCTCTCACCTGTTCCTAAAATAAATGCCTCTTTGCAATCTTACTCTCAAAAAAGGAAGGAGGAGGAGGAGGAGGAGGAGGAGGAGGAGGAGGAGGAGGAGAAACAACCTCCTGTTTTTCCATGGAGTTTGGGAGACCCACATTATCCTGTCTGATGTTCACAGACATTGAGTTCTAAGAATCAGTGCTCATTTCTCTTTCTCACTGGGCTATTCAAGACCGTCTCAGGCCTTGGGAACCTAAATTTCTAATAACCTACAGGGGCTTGTTCATTCCCTACCCACATATACACATATACCTCTCTGCCAGGATGTGTTCAGAGGATTATCCTTTCTACTTAATGAAATAAAAACTCAACCTCTCTCCCCAATAACAAGGTCTTCCCACATACCCACTACAGCAACTACCTCCTCTCTACAGGAGGGGCCCATCCCGGCAAGCACAGTGTACCATTTCACAGATTTCACCTCACCTCTGGCCAGGTTTTCAATATCTTTCTCCACCAGCTGAGTTCCTGTGACATCCAAGGTAAGCCCTTCTTCGCCTGGGATATAGGGGGAGGTAAGAAGGATTTTGTCTCGGGAGAAGGCTTGAGAGGGGAGGGGTGAGTATCCCGGGACCTATACCAAGTCACGGACCTACTCCAGACCCTTCTGCTTTTAGAGAAGGCAGTTACAAGCGGTCAGCACTACACACCTTCTAAGCCATCATTTTAGGGAGTAGGAGAGTGGGCCCCAGGGAGATAGGATATCCTAGGGAAGGAAATGCTTTGACCTATTTCAGATGGGTGAGGTGATCTCTCCATTTCCTCTTAGTATGTCCACTACCCTTATCGGAAAAACCCCAAAGGGGGTAGCTCTGGAACCTGGCCTGCATCTCCCCTGCAACATTTAAATAGTAAGTGGCAGCCTCTTGCTCTTGATTGAAACCGCCTCACAAGCCTGTGGAAACCTGTGCGACGTGGGTCCCACAGCCCGGCGGCGAGTGGGGCTCAAAGAATCTCAGTGCTCACCTCGGTCTGTATTTGTGGGACTTGGCTGGGAGATACTCCTTTGGTCTGAATAGGATTTCCTCGTTTCCAAATCATCGGCGGTCGAGTGATTGTCTTCCTTATCTGGTTCTTAAAGGCAATAAACCGAGTTTCAAGGAGAAGCAAAGAAATTGTGACCCCGATACTGCCAGCACTGCCGCGGTTGGGGCGCCCAAGCCCTAATTAAAAACGTGGTGGCCGCCTCTGGTTCCCGACTGTGAGCCCAGGCGCGCGCCCTGAGGCTTTGGGCAGGGTACTCCCTCCCCCGCACATGGTCTGCTAGTCTTGCGGCTTCACGCCACTCCCCAGCCCCTCGAAAAAGAGCGAGACGAGCAGCAGAGCCCACCAGGGACGGGCGACCTACATCGTACGCAGATACTGGGGCACCGCGAGCGCGCGTGGCCGCTGGGTCTGTCCGCGCGATTCCCGCGGAGATCGCAGCCCAGGCAGCGGCCTAGCGCGTAGTGTGGTGCGTCAGGAAATTGTACTGGCTTGGTTGCCTTCGCTTGCCCAGATTTCCAAGACCCCTCCTCTGCTGGCAACCTGGCCTGAGCCAAGTGCAGGCTCCCCCGCCCCCCACAGTGGGCCGACGCTTCCGGGGTATCCAAGCGCGCAGCCAAGCTCGCTCATCCTTCGCCCAGACCTGGCCCGGCCACCGGGAACCCTGAAGACCAACACACTTGCTGAATAAATGAGGGAACCTGAAGGAGATGCAGGCGTGATTTTTTTTTTTTTTTTTAAGATTTTAACCCTCGTAGGAGGTGTACTGGAGCATGTGTGTATGTGTGGTGGAGAAGGTAGGTTGGTATTGTTTTTTTAAGTAATCAGCCCGTGGGAGTTGTTAGGAGTTCTCAGCTTCCCTTTTCTTTCATTATTTTTCTTTCCTTCTCTCTTTCTTTCGCTTTTTCTGGGTCTCTCTTTCTGCCCTCGGCTTCCCTCGCTGGCCTCTTTTGGGCCTACCCTCTATTCGCACCCCCTCCCCTATCACAGTGGCCAGAGGCCTTGGAAGGCGTTACCGTGGGCCTCGGGGGTGCAGAGGTAGGAAGCAGTGGGCCCCAGCGCCGCCGCGGCGCTCTTCACGTGCTCATCCCTCTCCGGCGCGTACACCTGCTGCGGCCGAGAAATGACAAGCGATTAGGGGGGCTCCTGGTGGCTGCCGGAAACCGCCCAGTCCCGCCCCGCAGCCAACAGGAAACTCCTAGGAGGTAGGGGAGGGTGGCTTGCCCGCGGGACCTAAGGGCAGGGGTAGCGGGGACGCACGTGGCGCACCCTTGTGCCCTTGCGCCCTTGGAGTCTGTCACTGTTGTAGATTCAGGTAATTATTGGCCCTCGCGAAAAAAAATACTCGAAACATGAAGCGGTTCCCAAGCCAAAGGCCATTCAAAGCCGCCCCGGTTCTCTGCGCTCGCCTCATTTCCCCCATTTCCCCTCCTGCCCAGGCCTGGGTCCTATCCTAGGCAAAAATGATGCTTTCACATCCGGTTAATGATTCGTGTTTTAATGAACCGAATGGAAATGTATAGGTGTGCGCACCCACTTTCAGGAAGGTCAATGATTCCGGCCTAGCCACAACCTGTTCCTCCAGCCCCAGCCCTGCCAACATTAGAACCCCCTTGCGCCCCGCGCACGGTCCAGAGACAGTTTCCCAGCATCAAACCCTGTGAACGGTTCCTAATGAGGGAGTGTGAAGAGACTCGGAAAGCTGCTGGTTGGGGTGAAGGAAGATTCCTAGGACTCAGTACTGCTAGGATCCTAAATGGGAAGAGGACACCCTCTCCTCTCGCTACCCACTAGCTCTCCTTGGAGTATGAGAGCGTTTCTCTCTTGGTTTAAGTCCCTCTCTTTCCTCGTTCTTCCTCTAGAACCCTTTTATTTCTCTCTGGTGTCTGGCAATCTCTGCCGGTTCCCATCCTCACACCTAACAACAAACACAAAGCACACACACTCCCCAGGCTTGCCCCCGATCTTCCGAAACCTCACTCGGGGCCCCAGGACCCCAATTCCACAGAGAACCCAAGGCTGGGCCTGCTGGGAGCAGCCGGGGCTGCTGCGCAGAACAAAATTCGGGCCTCCCGCCGCCCACTTGGGGTGCTTTACATGAGAGTGGTGGGGTAAAGGGGTAGGTGCTACCGGCTGAGCGGTCTCTGAGCTCACCTTGGCCGTCGTGGGGCCTCCCAGGGGCCCGCAAGACTCTCGAAGCTCATAGCCGCCGCTTGGCGGGCTTCTCTCGGGTCTCCGCACCACATCATCCGCTGCCAGGTCACTAAATGCAGACCCGCCAGCTGGGGGAGGCCCGAGGCGGCGCCGGGGCCGAGGGCTACCGCCATCGGGAGAGTCTGTGGGGCCATCTGCGCCTGAGGAAGCAGCAGAGAGGGGCCCAGTGGGCTGGTCCCCGTCTGGGCCACCTCCCGCGCTGAGCGCACTAGGTTCGGTCTCCTCCTGGGCACCCTCATCGTCGGGAAAACGGTTGGATTCCACGTCCACCTCCGGCTCATCCGCGGTGTCCACGTCGGGCGAGGCGGAATGGTAGCTGGAGCTGCCCTCGCTCAGAAAATCTGGGCTCACGTAGCCGCCGCCTGTCCCCGCGCCTGGCCCTGGCCCACGAGCAGGCCCCGCGCTGTACACCTCTCGGGCGCTACCATACAGCTTGGCAATACTCTCGGTGTCCTTGACCACAGGTCGGAAGGCAGACACGTAAGAGCCCTTGCGTGCTGGCGGAGGCGGTGGAGGGGCCAGGGGGGGCAGGGGTGGTGGTAGTGCCTCGTCAGCGCCGTCCTCGTCCAGGGGCCCGCGGGACAATGCACTCGGGCAGCGCTCCTCAGCTCCGAGGCCACTGTCCTTGGCTGACTCAGCACCGTCCAGGGGCTCTGGGCCGCCGCCGCCAGCAGCCGCCGCCGCTGCCGCCGCCGCCGCTGCTACAGCAGCCGCTACGGCCTTTGCTTGGCTCTGCGCGGCGGGGTAGGGCGGCACCGGGAGACTGCCTGCAGCTGGCCAGAACATGGGGAACGTCGGGTACACAGTGGCGGCGGCCGCCGCTGCAGCTACCGCTGCTGCATCCTTCGCTGCCCCAGAAGGTTGATGCCCCCAGAACATGGTACCGCCGCCCGGGCCGGCCCCTGCTCCTGGGGGCAAGTGGCCGGTTCCCGGGCCACCTGCACCGGCACCAGTGCCCGCGCCGCCGCCGCTCCCGGTGCCAGGGCCGCCCTTGGGTTCACCTGCACCCAATACTGGGTCGTCCTTTTTGGGGCATAGGCCGAAGGCCGTGGGAAAACCATAAGGATGAGGGAAAAGTGGCGGGGGCAGCTTTTGCAAGAGGCCAAAGCCTTTGCTGGGCACCGGGATCACGGGGTAGCTACGTACGCCTGCGCTGCCACCAGGCCCTCCAGGGCCTGTCGGGCCGCTAGCTCCTCCCGCCAGGCCAAGTCCGCGCTGTGGGTGGGGAGGAGGTGGACCCGGAGGCCCGGCCGCCTCATCTTCACCACAGCGCAGGCTTTTGTGGGGCGGTGGGCCTGGGGCCATTTCGGCGCACCCTGGACCCCCGCCACCACCGCCACCAGTTCCACCCTTCCCTTGACCACCGGACCCGCCATTAGCGCCTCCTCCGCCACCTCCTTGCAGCGAGAAGGTCCGCTTGCGCGTGCCCCCATTAAACATAGCCTTGACGTCCTCCCAAGCGTGGCTCAGTTCGTCTGTGGCCGACTTGTCACTGAGTTTGAGGTGACGACGCCAGGAGTTGAAGTTGGCGGCGTCTGGCTGAGTATACTTGGCATCGGGTGTGCGGTGCGAGTGGAAGATGAACTTGTTAGGCGAGAAGTACATGCTGCAGTAGCCGCACTTGATGCACTTGGCACGCGAACTGTTGTAGCGCGCAGGGATGAAGCTGCCACGCGAGCCCCAAGCACACTCATGCACCACATCAAAGGCGAAGTTCTCGGGCAGTTTGGGTGGTTTGTGCTCGCCCAGGAATGACTTGCACAGGCGTTCGGCCTCACGCTTGGTGATCATGCCGCAGCGGCGCGAGGAGATGGGCATGGCCCCGGCCCGACGTAGAATCTCCAGCTGCACCGGCGTACACTGCACGCACGTGATACCCAGAGCCACTCGTCGGTTGTGGATCTCATTGTAGCTGTAGTTCTTGAGAAGAGTGTTGGAGATTTGCGCCAGGCACAGGCGCTCCTGGCCGTCGATGACAAGAGACACGATAGGCACCCCATACAGCGACGTCTCTCCCACCTGGTTAGGTTTGAGGGCGCTGGAGCCCGAGTAAGGCTGCAGCTCCTGTTTGGAGTTTGGAGAGGAGCTGCCCTCGCGCCCCGGCCCCAGCTGAGTGGTGAGAGCCTCCATGCCGCCGCTCCTAAGAAATAGAGAAAGCAGAGAGCAGATGAGCCATTTTCAGCGCCTTCGCCTAGTCCCGGGCCCGCCCAGCTGGGCGCGCCAAGTCGGGCGCACCGAAGGTATTGGCAGTGGGGATTCAAGCTCAGTTGTTCCCTGGACCGGCGCCTTTTGTTATTCAGACCCGTGGTGGTGCCGGAACTAAAGCCCCTGGGGTTTGAGGTAGGAGAAGGGGTAATGAAGACCTCAGAAATGCCCCAGCTGCAAGAAACCCAATTCCTTTTTTTGTATTGGGAAGGAAGTGGGACCCAGAGATGGAGAGTGACTTGCCCAAGGCCACACAGCAATGCCATTGCGAAGTCCAGGCTTTCTGGCGCCCAGATCCACGCGCCTTCAGCCACCCTCGCAACCTGCCCTGCCGGCCCGGACTTCGGGGACGGTGGCCCCTCTGCTCAGTCGCGCATGCACGTGGGCGGGAGGGGGCAGTGCAAGGAGCAGGGAGGCGAAGGAGGGGCGGACACTGCCCATCTCCAGACTGCAGGAGGTGGGGTGGGGGAGAAGGAGGAGGAACCCAGGGCTGCTTGGGAGGGGGAGAGACAGAGGCGACCGCTGTTCGTGGTGCTGAACCCTACCCTCTTCAAAGCAGGCGCCCAGACCCAGGGCCGCCCCCACTGCACCTAGCTCGGCGCTGGCCGTTTTCCCAGGACAAAAGTGTGGGTTTCCACAAACCAGAGCTTCTTTTCTCACGCCTAGCACCCCGCGTTCATTGAGCAGAAAGATTCTGGCTGGATCTGTAAATGGTTTTCTTTTCGGCCGTCAGTGGGTCCAGGATTGTGCAGTTCCTAACAACTGTGCTCCAGACCAAAGCTAGTTTCCATCTGGGTCAGTGCATGGGACATAGAGGTTCTCAAAGAAGTTATTCAGAAGCCACTTTGCCTTCACTTCCAATCTCCCACTTTCTGAGGTTTCCTCCTTCAGATGTGTCTTTCCCATTCAGGCCACATCCAGGCTCCAGGAGGCCCTGGGTTGCTTCTTGTGCAGGCGACTCTTCCCTGAGTTTCCTTCAAGTCCCGCTGTCCTGGCTCATATAGGCTAAGAGGAATCCTGGTGGGTCTTGAAGCCACAGCAAAGCTCCAGGCACGAAAGGTGCTGCTGGTCTCTCACTTTGCTCTTTGGCTGAGGCAGTAGGTGCCACCTCACCTGCAGACTACAGCAGCCGGGAAAACTGGAAATTGATGTTTAGGGCCTTCTAGGTCGCCCTGCCCAACCACGTGTCCTTAGACACACAAGGCTGCGACCTGACCCAGGGCTGCAGGCACTCCTGTGGCCGGGCAGCCTAAACCGGAGGGCTCCTCCCCCAAACTCGGCCTGGAAAGGAAAATTCATTTTCAGAGGGGCCACTTCAGCAGGACAAGTGGCTTGAGTTCAAAAGCCTTCAGTGAAGAGACTGAAATATTCAGTCTTTCTCATTCCCCTATTTGCTTAGGTGTGCCCCATTTGTTGATCTTATCTGTCCCTGAACTGTTGGTCTCTGTCAGCTCGCTCCTGTTTCTCCCATCTGTCTTGTACCTTCTTCAAGTATCAAGCTATTTATCTATTAACTGTTTCATCTTTATCTCTTGTAATCAAACTGAAACAAGTTGACCCTCCCTTCGAATTGAAGTCTCTTGTAACATTTTAGGAGGCAGAAAACCACTATTCTAACTCCCTAGCTGAGGGGTCAACAAGATAAGCCGCGCGCCCCCAGGGAGGGCTCTCGGGCAGGCTGTGGAGGTGGCTAGGGGATCAGCGGCTCTGGGAAATGACTATGGCTTCTTGGTTCCCCGAAATCGGCAAGTGTGCGTGGCCCGCATACAGTGAAGAGAGCACCCTGAGCCATGCGCATCCTCCCCAATCTGAGGTCCTGGGTCCCCGCGGTATTTTTCCGAGTAAAAGAAGGGGGGCTCCGGGCCCTGGAGCCAGAAGAAGAAGGGCCCTAGGAAAGTAATAGTATTTGGGGGGCCAAAGCGAAAGGCCGTATGAAGGGCCGTATGCAGCGACAAGAAGCAGTGGCCAGGAGAGCTCCAGAACCCTCTCCGGCTCCTGGAGCTTCAGGGATGAGCTTGGGGAGGATAACGAGCCGGAAGGCGGACAGCGGTGGGAACCAGGCGGTAGAGTCGTTAGGTATAATAAAAACAACAGCCATAAGAGTCCAAATCAGAACTAAACGAAAAAAAAGCTGTGGCGGCAGGGCACGGGGGCGACGGGTTACCGGTAGCGGGTACTCACCGTGCGGCGGCGGCTGGAGCCGGGCGAGCGGTGCGCGGAGGTGCGCGGCGGGAGTAGGGGCGGGAGGGAGTCCGGGATCCGCCGGGCTCTCCGGGTGACGGCGCGGCCCCTCCCCGCGCGCGCGCACAGCCTAGCTCCCCGGCTCCCCGCGCTCCCACCCGCGGCCCCTCCCGCTCTCAGCAGGCGCTGGGCGCCAGGGCTCTGGGCGCGGAGAAGTGTGCCCTGAGCCGCTGTCCCCGAGGCCGGGGACTGGCCCGTAGAAGAGGCGGAAGCCTAGAGCTCATGGCGTGGCGGCGGGCACCGCGCGGTCACAGCCGGAGTGGCGAGGCCAGCACTGGGCGGGCGCGCCTGACAGCTGCGAGCCAGGGCGCCACACCCACCGCCCGCGCATCACTCGCGCCCTCCCCGGGTCCACCCGCCCGCGGGCCACGCGCTGCGCCCGCTGCCTCTTGGTAGCCCCAGGGCCTGCGCGCCCCAGGTAAGCGGCGTCACACCTGCGCCCCACGTCCCGCACCTGCGGCCCGCGCTAGCCAGAGAGGCCAAGTGGGAGGAAGGGCCTAGGACCCTCAAAGTTTGCCCCCCAAGAACAAAGTGGGGAGGGTCCAGTGCTCCAAGCCAAAGCGCCAGAAGCGGGCCCAGCAGGGCCGGGGATGGAGTTGAGAGCGACTCAAGAGAAAGGGGAGCAGGGAGGAGTACCTTACTTTCCTGCTGCAGAGCAGTGCAACCAAGAGTGGCCCTAGAGAGACCTTAGGGTTGCCAGTGGCTGGGATCGTGACTAGGGTACCGGGAGCAGGAGGGAGCAGACGGGGGAAGGGGCAGATCCGTCCCATACCCGTTTAGGCGAGAGGCATCCGGAGCGCTGTAGTTTGGGGAGGGGACTCAAAACTAATTTTGCCTTCCACCCCCCCAAACATTGAATGACTCCCTTCACCATTACCCAACAGGCCTAGGGCAAGAAGCCAAGTCATCTTTGGGAGATTTGGGGTCAACTACTCTGTCAATGTTGCTATCTCAGTTTTCCAGTGTCTGTGCGTGTTCAACGCCTGAGCAACAGCCTCTCTCAGCTCGTTCTTTCTCCCCAAAGCTCCATTATCATTTCATCTCCCCTACCCAACCTCTCTCTCTCTCTCTCTCTCTCTCTCTCCCTCCCTCCCTCCCTCTACCCCTTTGGGTTTCCATCTTCTCTCTCAATCTCGGTCTCTACTTCCTTTGAGTTACTAGTGATCCCCTCTCCACCCTTCCTTGCCCGCATTCAGGCGCCCCCTTGGCCGCTCCCCCCTTCCTGCCCCGGTGGCATTAAGTGTCCTTAATGGACACGTTAATTAAACTGTAATTAATCATACTGTCCAGCCCAAGTTTGAACAATTACCCTAATCAAACAGAAGTTAATAATGGCAGGGATGGCCTGGGGCGCGGCGGGCCGCCCGGGCAGGGGGCGCAGCGGCCACGGCAGCTACCGGCGGTGGCAGAAGCGGAGAGTGCAGCCTGTCCTTGGAACTCGGGCGGCGCCATAAATCTTCCGCGGGTAGAGGCGCAGGGTCGCCCCCGCCCCCTAGTTTTCCTTCCAGCTCTGGGTTGTGGGCCCTCTTCCTGCGTTCCAGATTCTCTGGAGTTTCTCTCCCCTTCTCCTTCGCTTTTCCCCCACCCCTACTTTTCTTGCTCCCTCCTCCACCCCCTTCTACTCTCCTTGCTTCAGGGACCCTAGGAAGGTCTCTGGAGGCTCATAAAGATCTTTCTGGCCTAGCCTTGGGGAGAGGAGCTGCAAGGCCTGGCCTGGGGGCTCACCTCCCCCCATCCCCAGACGTGTTCTTTGAGGCCTCAAAACCCACTCCTAAGTTTGAGGGCTCTGCGGCCTCTTCAAGATCAGGTTCTTGCTTTCGCCTCCCTCAGTCCACCCCCAGTTCACTGTTTTCTGTCCGATTTGCCTTGTGGTCTGCTCAGCCCCTTTCTCTCTCTCTGGCCCCTCCATTCGCGCCTTTCCCTGGCACTGCCTCTGTCCGTCTCCAACTCTGTGGTTCTCTAAACCCACCATTCCCTCAGAGGACAACAGGAACCTATTTTCCGCCCCAGTCCGAGAGCTATCCTCAGTTCTCATCCGCTTGTCTCCCCTCCCTTGGCCCAGGTTCCCCCTTCTTGTAATTACAATCCCACTTGGTAATTATTCTTAGCCTTCTAATGATTTTTTTTTTTAAAGGAACCTCAGAATCGGTAAGGTAGTGACAATGAGCCTGGACGCCCCTAGGGTGGTGGGGTGGGAGTAGAGAGGATGGGCCTGCCTATTCTGCCTCTATTGTATTGCAAGGGCCAACAACGCCTCTGGGGCTGGCCTCTGGGGGTTCCCGGCAGCCTGGAAGAGCCCTCCCCGCCCGACCTGTCCTACAAAGGATTGCACCCTAGGCTACCGCACCAGGGGGCGTGCAGTGTCACCTCTGCTCTTTATTCAGCACTAAAGAACGGACAGCTCCTCCTTTGGGCCCAGAGGCTGCAGATCCGCTGAGCTATCTGGGCCTTGGTTTAAGCCAGAGAAAGATCGAAAGCACCTGGAGAGAGACCCAGGAAGCGCTGCTGCTTGGTGCTGGTCTCCCGGGAGCCCGTCATGGGGTTCAGGGTTGGAGCTCTGCTCTGGACCAACGACCAGAAGGTTAATGTCAACGTGACTACATTTTATGGTTTGCAAAACCGATTCTCACAGCAGCTACGGGAATAGATTTTGATCTTTTATTTCCATTTTATAGGTAGGAAACTATGGGCCAGGCAGTGGAAGCCAATCCACCCCACGTTCTTCAGTCACTAAGACAGGTGGACTGCTCTAGACCCAAAGCGCCTGGCGTGCTGCGGAGAAGGGCCTAGCTCGGTGAAGGGGCCGTCAGGAGTGTGCAGCGCTGTGCAGCTCACGAAGTTTCATTATCGCCAAGGCCTCGCTGCTGCTCAGGTTCAGGAAGCCAGTGAGTGGCAGAGCTGGGACTTGAACCCAGACTCCGACGGCTATGTGTGGCACCCCTTTTCCACACTGTGGTTTCTGGATCCTGCGGCCCTGTCCAGAGCAGGGGAGCCCGTGGAAGACATGGCTCTTAGCCTCCCTGGT